CATCATTGTTCCCCAGGTTGAATATAAATAGAGCGGAGAGACAAATCCATCAGAAACAAGGAGGGTGTCAATGGAGTACTCATGGGTTGGGGCTGCCATTGCAGTGATAGCGAGCTTAATAGCAGTGTGGGTATCATGGGGTGCGTTGAACTGGGTTTGGATCAGGCCGAGGAAGCTCGAGAAGCGGCTGAGAGAACAAGGCCTGGCCGGAAACCCTTACCGGATTCTCTATGGGGACCTGAAGGAGAGCTTGGCGCTGTTGAAGGAGGCCAACTCCAAGCCTATGGCCTTCTCCCATGACATTGGTGCAAGGGTGTTGCCCTCCATCTCTAATGCCATCCAAAACCATGGTATATATTTCCATCTCCTCCTTAAAATAAGTAACTAAAGTACCGTCCTAATTGTTAGTAGACTTAGTAGAATAAGTTACTAACTTACAGAGCAACATAGGAGAATTCGTGGTAGTAGTTAACGAATTGTGGACTAAGTTTTGTGGGTGTGGACTAAGTTTTATGCTTTAATTAAGAACAACGTTACTCGTTCTTAACTTGAGTAGAAAGTTTAGGAAGCTAGTTGGTGCTTTCTCCACTATAAATACTCATGAGATGTATGCTTTTTCACAACAACAAATAGAATTGAAAAGTAAGTGCTTAAGCTTTCTTTGCTCCAAAAGATCTCTCCTGTCACGGTGTTTCTTTGCCTCTTATAATTGTTTCGACATAATTTCGATCGAGGGTCACATCCAACACTTGATATGCAGGAAAGAATTCATACATATGGCTTGGGCCATATCCGAGAGTAAACATCATGGATCCAGAGCAACTTAACGCTACCTTTTCTCTGATCAATGATATCCAAAAGCCAGATATGAACCCGTTCTTTAAGTTCCTTTTAGAGGGAATTATAACGCATGAAGGCGAAAAATGGGCTAAACATAGAAAGATTATCAACCCTGCGTTTCATTTGGATAAGTTGAAGGTATGTTTTGTCTACGTGGTTTAAGAACAGGTGAAGAACACTTTTAAAACACTGCGTTTGATTTTGTTTTTTTGCACAGAATATGGTACCAGTGTTTGTGGATAGCAGCAATGAGATAGTGAGTGAATGGGAAAGAATAGTCCCAGAAGATGGGTGCTGTGAGTTGGATGTAATGCCATATCTACAAAGCTTGACACGTGATGCCATTTCCAGAGCAGCATTTGGAAGTAGCTATAAGGAAGGACAAATGATCTTCCAGCTTCTTAAACAACTTACTGATTGGGTGGTTAAGGTTGCTGGTGGAATTTATATTCCTGGATGGAGGTAAATCCAGTCAACTATTGTTATTTTGGATCGGGTTTTAGAATTTAGATTCGACTTAATATATTTCTGTGTCCCTTGTGACATGACTATGTTACATGCACGTCTTAAAGTTCTGAGAATGAAAACTATCCTTAATGACCAACATAGCTCTTTTGAGGTGTTACACCGCTAGCAGATATTGTCTTCTTTGGACTTTTCTTTTCGGGTTTTCCCCTAAGATTTTGAAATATGTCTACTAGAGAGAGGTTTCCACACCTATAAATAATGTTTCGTTTCCTTTTCCAACCAATGTGAGATCTCACCATCCACTTCCCTTTGGGGTCCAGCGTCCTCCTAACTGGCACTCGTTCCCCTCTCCAATCGATGTGGAACCTCCCAATACATCCCCTTTGGGGCCCAATGGCCTCATTGGCACACTGTCTGCTGTCCACCCCCTTTGGGGCCCAGCGTCCTCGTTGGCACACCGTCTGGTGTTCACCTCCTTTGGGGCCCAGCGTCCTCGTTGGCACACCGTCTGGTGTTCACCTCCTTTGGGGCCCAACATCCTCTTTGGCACACTGTCTGGTGTCCACCCCCTTCGGGACTTAGTGTCCTCGTTGGCACACCATTTGGTGTCCACCCCCTTCGGGACCCAGCGTCCTCGTTGGCACACCGTCTGGTGTCCACCTCCTTTGGGACCCAGCGTCCTCATTGGCACACCGTATGGTGTCCACCCCCTTTGGGACCCAGCATCCTCGTTGGCACATCGTCTGGTGTCCTCCCCCTTTGGGACCCAGCGTCCTCATTGGCACACCGTCTGGTGTCCACCCCCTTTGGGACCCAGCATCCTCGTTGGCACATCGTCTGGTGCCCTCCCCCTTTGGGACCCAGCGTCCTCATTGGCACACCGTCTGGTGTCCACCCCCTTTGGGACCCAGCATCCTCGTTGGCACATCGTCTGGTGTCCTCCCCCTTTGGGACCCAGCGTCCTCATTGGCACACCGTCTGGTGTCCACCCCCTTTGGGACCCAGCATCCTCGTTGGCACATCGTCTGGTGTCCTCCCCCTTTGGGACCCAGCGTCCTCATTGGCACACCGTCTGGTGTCCACCCCCTTTGGGACCCAGCATCCTCGTTGGCACATCGTCTGGTGTCCACCTCCTTTGGGACCCAGCGTCCTCATTGGCACACCGTATGGTGTCCACCCCCTTTGGGACCCAGCATCCTCGTTGGCACATCGTCTGGTGTCCTCCCCCTTTGGGACCCAGCGTCCTCATTGGCACACCGTCTGGTGTCCACCCCCTTTGGGACCCAGCATCCTCGTTGGCACATCGTCTGGTGTCCTCCCCCTTTGGGACCCAGCGTCCTCATTGGCACACCGTCTGGTGTCCACCCCCTTTGGGACCCAGCATCCTCGTTGGCACATCGTCTGGTGTCCTCCCCCTTTGGGACCCAGCGTCCTCATTGGCACACCGTCTGGTGTCCACCCCCTTTGGGACCCAGCATCCTCGTTGGCACATCGTCTGGTGTCCTCCCCCTTTGGGACCCAGCGTCCTCATTGGCACACCGTCTGGTGTCCACCCCCTTTGGGACCCAGCATCCTCGTTGGCACATCGTCTGGTGTCCTCCCCCTTTGGGACCCAGCGTCCTCATTGGCACACCGTCTGGTGTCCACCCCCTTTGGGACCCAGCATCCTCGTTGGCACATCGTCTGGTGTCCTCCCCCTTTGGGACCCAGCGTCCTCATTGGCACACCGTCTGGTGTCCACCCCCTTTGGGACCCAGCATCCTCGTTGGCACATCGTCTGGTGTCCACCTCCTTTGGGACCCAGCGTCCTCATTGGCACACCGTCTGGTGTCCACCCCCTTTGGGACCCAGCATCCTCGTTGGCACATCGTCTGGTGTCCTCCCCCTTTGGGACCCAGCGTCCTCATTGGCACACCGTCTGGTGTCCACCCCCTTTGGGACCCAGCATCCTCGTTGGCACATCGTCTGGTGTCCTCCCCCTTTGGGACCCAGCGTCCTCATTGGCACACCGTCTGGTGTCCACCCCCTTTGGGACCCAGCATCCTCGTTGGCACATCGTCTGGTGCCTCCCCCTTTGGGACCCAGCATCCTCATTGACACATCGTCTGGTGTCCTCCCCCTTTGGGACCCAGCGTCCTCTTTGGCACACCGTCTGGTGTCCACCCCCTTCGGGACTCAGCGTCCTCGTTGGCTCACCGTTTGGTGTCCACCCCCTTCGGGACCCAACGTCCTCGTTGGCACACCATCTGGTGTCCACCTCCTTTGGGACCCAGCGTCCTCATTGGCACACCGTCTGGTGTCCACCCCCTTTGGGACCCAGCATCCTCGTTGGCACATCGTCTGGTGTCCTCCCCCTTTGGGACCCAGCGTCCTCATTGGCACACCGTCTGGTGTCCACCCCCTTTGGGACCCAGCATCCTCGTTGGCACANACACGTTTAGTTTAGCTTTTGAGTTTCTATGATTGAACCACAAAAAAGGAAGGTGCAAAAGGACTCAGTTCGTGGGAATAGTGTCCTTTTTGGGCTTTCCCTAATGAGCTTCCCCTCAAGATTTTAAAACGCGTCTACTAGGGAGAGGTTTCCACACCCTTAAATGCTTTGTTCCTCTCTTCAACCAATGTGGGATCTCATAATCCACCCCCCATAGGGGCCCAGCGTCCTCGGTACCTGGCTCTGATATCATTTGTAACAGCCCTTATAAGGAATGCTTCGTTTTCCTCTCCAACTAAGGTGGGATCTCATAATAAGTATGTTACGTGGTCATGTTCTAGAAGAATGTCGGGGTCATCTCGTGAATGATGCAACCGAGTTAAGCTTGTATTCATACTATAAAGCTATTAACAATGCTATAAATAACTTTTTTGCAGGTTTCTACCAACAAAGTCCAACAATAAACTGAAAGAAACAAATGAAGAAATAAAAAGATTGGTTTTGGGTATCATAAACAAAAGGCAAAAGGCTATGAAGGAAGGTGAAGCTGTACAAAATGACTTATTGGGCATTCTCCTTGACTCCAATGCTAAAGAAATTGAAGCTCAAGGAAACAACAAAGACGTTGGAATGAGTATAGAAGATGTGATTAAAGAGTGCAAGATTTTCTACATTGGTGGCCAAGAAACCACAGCTCAGCTATTAACTTGGTCCATGATTTTGTTAAGCGTCTATACCGAGTGGCAAGAACGAGCTAGAGCAGAGGTTCGAGAAGTATTCGGTGACAACACTCCAAATTCGGATGGTTTAAGTCGTCTAAAAGTGGTAAGTGAGATTCTCTTTGTGTCGTTTTTTCTTTTGTTTTCTACCTGGATAGCTTAATCAGTAGAACTATACTTAAGCTTTATATACGACAGGTAAATATGATTCTACACGAAGTTTTAAGGCTATATCCACCAGCAAGTATGCTTCCTCGTGTAGTTAAAAAGGAAACAAGAGTTGGAAAATTGAATCTACCAGCTGGAGTAATGTTAGTTGTACCCATGGTTCTTATCCATCGTGATCGTGAGATATGGGGTGAGGATGCGAATGAGTTTAAACCAGAAAGATTCAGCAATGGAGTTTCTAACGCATCAAAACAACAGCCTGCTTTCCTCCCCTTTGGATGGGGTCCTCGGATATGCTTGGGGCAGAACTTTGCGATTTTTGAGGCCAAAATCGCTCTATCCTTGATCCTACAACGTTTTTCGTTTGAGCTCTCTCCATCTTATACTCATGCTCCCATCGTGGTTATGTCTATTGAGCCTCAACATGGAGCTCATATCATTCTTCGCAAACTTAATAAGGTTTGATTGTGTATTTTTTAGCCTTAGTTTACGAGTTATTTAAATAAGCATTATGTCGAACTTTTGCGTTTCTCGTTTAATAATGCATGATAAATTCTCCCCAACTCTATTCTCTTTGCTGGGAGAAAATTAGTCCGTTCATCTTCATTAAGTTGCTAGGTGACCTGGTCATGTATTCTAAGGTGTGTTGTTTGTGACCATGTGTCAGATGTCTCGATCATGTTTGTCCATGGCCGCATACCTGTTTCAAACCCCTTTTACTTGCTTTCCTGTTAGATAGGTCTTTACTATTTTTGTTCTGTCAATACTGGGTGTGATTGGTCACCAAAATCATGTCTGCACTGACAGGGTTGAAATTCCCCAAAATGTACTATAGATGGACGTGACTAGTTGTCAATTCTTCTCATTCGGATTATATGCTATTTTTTTGTTTATTTACTTTTAGCTTGTGTCATGACCCAATTTTCGAGATTTTGAAAACCTGGGCCGCGAAAAAAAAAAAGACAATCAAACACAAACAAAATAGACATATAACACCCGTGTCAAAATTCCAAGTTATTTACAAAGTTAACCTAAAAAGAATACAACTGGCTGACGCCTCGAGTCGACACCCCTCTGCGATAGTGCAGCTCCAGAGCACCTTCCCACCTCGACTAGTACCTGAAAAAGAAAGGGAAAAAGGGGTGAGTAAAAATATATTCAGTAAGCAACCTAATTATAGGCTCTCATCCCTTCCTTCTCCTAGTAGGTTCCCACGACTTTTTTTTGGTCTATACGAAGTTCTAATTGATTCCTCATTGATCGTCTACCCGTGTAGTCCCTAGTCCCTTTTCGAGACTGGTTTACAACGTTGCGGCATCGACTGTGATTCGTTCCTACACCCAATAGAAGTGTTCATGTTAAACCACCTACCCATGTAGTCCCTGATCTCTTCCAATACCGGTTTACGAAGTCACAATGTCAACCTTGACTCATTCCTACACTCAATAAGGGTCCATACTTGAGTTAACTACCCATGTAGTCCCTAGTTCTTCTCGAGAATTGGTTTAATAGGATCAGAGCATTGGCCCTAACCCAACTCCACACTCAATTGTAACTCAGCTAGTTTCATGATCTTGTAAGCTACTTAAATCATATTAAGACACCATGGAAAACTACTATGTTCTTAGGGCGTTCATGCCATTAAAACTCCTTTTCTCAATTCCAGGACGTTCAGGTTTAGCCCCTCCTTGGGTGCACATAGGTCTAACCTCTAGTTCTTCACATAAATCGTACTAGTTATAGAGCCCTAATCTTAACTGGATTTTTGATGCATGATTTACAAGTAAAATATATCTATCAACCGTCTTTAACGCATAGAACGTGTCTACTCATTCATAGATGTTTATTAATATGGTATTCCTACCAACCTTTAATACTTGAAAATCATAACATAAATCATACACACAATCAAACAAGCTCAACAAGGAGATAACATCCATCAATCACCCGAAACACAGATCAAAATATCCCTTCCTCCATCGTATCACCGCGGAAGACATTAAATTAAGCATACTTCTCAATTCAAATCTGTGTGACACTTGAATAAAATACGTGAACGTAAATGAACTAATGTCATATCTACCAGTTGGGTCGTGTTGCATGAGATTTATAGGCATCTTAACTAATGTCATTTTTTTCATTGTTTCAATTAATGATTAACATCATTTGATTGTGAATGAAATTTAATGATTATTGAACCTAAAAGGAAAGATGGAATATTGAAAAATATATTCAATTTCTTTAATTTCCAAGGCTCATCACGTGAAACACGACCAAACTGTAACCAATTATTGATTAGAAATATGTTCTTTTGTGAAACATAATTGTCCCCATCATTGTTCCCCAGGTTGAATATAAATAGAGCGGAGAGACAAATCCATCAGAAACAAGGAGGGTGTCAATGGAGTACTCATGGGTTGGGGCTGCCATTGCAGTGATAGCGAGCTTAATAGCAGTGTGGGTATCATGGGGTGCGTTGAACTGGGTTTGGATCAGGCCGAGGAAGCTCGAGAAGCGGCTGAGAGAACAAGGCCTGGCCGGAAACCCTTACCGGATTCTCTATGGGGACCTGAAGGAGAGCTTGGCGCTGTTGAAGGAGGCCAACTCCAAGCCTATGGCCTTCTCCCATGACATTGGTGCAAGGGTGTTGCCCTCCATCTCTAATGCCATCCAAAACCATGGTATATATTTCCATCTCCTCCTTAAAATAAGTAACTAAAGTACCGTCCTAATTGTTAGTAGACTTAGTAGAATAAGTTACTAACTTACAGAGCAACATAGGAGAATTCGTGGTAGTAGTTAACGAATTGTGGACTAAGTTTTGTGGGTGTGGACTAAGTTTTATGCTTTAATTAAGAACAACGTTACTCGTTCTTAACTTGAGTAGAAAGTTTAGGAAGCTAGTTGGTGCTTTCTCCACTATAAATACTCATGAGATGTATGCTTTTTCACAACAACAAATAGAATTGAAAAGTAAGTGCTTAAGCTTTCTTTGCTCCAAAAGATCTCTCCTGTCACGGTGTTTCTTTGCCTCTTATAATTGTTTCGACATAATTTCGATCGAGGGTCACATCCAACACTTGATATGCAGGAAAGAATTCATACATATGGCTTGGGCCATATCCGAGAGTAAACATCATGGATCCAGAGCAACTTAACGCTACCTTTTCTCTGATCAATGATATCCAAAAGCCAGATATGAACCCGTTCTTTAAGTTCCTTTTAGAGGGAATTATAACGCATGAAGGCGAAAAATGGGCTAAACATAGAAAGATTATCAACCCTGCGTTTCATTTGGATAAGTTGAAGGTATGTTTTGTCTACGTGGTTTAAGAACAGGTGAAGAACACTTTTAAAACACTGCGTTTGATTTTGTTTTTTTGCACAGAATATGGTACCAGTGTTTGTGGATAGCAGCAATGAGATAGTGAGTGAATGGGAAAGAATAGTCCCAGAAGATGGGTGCTGTGAGTTGGATGTAATGCCATATCTACAAAGCTTGACACGTGATGCCATTTCCAGAGCAGCATTTGGAAGTAGCTATAAGGAAGGACAAATGATCTTCCAGCTTCTTAAACAACTTACTGATTGGGTGGTTAAGGTTGCTGGTGGAATTTATATTCCTGGATGGAGGTAAATCCAGTCAACTATTGTTATTTTGGATCGGGTTTTAGAATTTAGATTCGACTTAATATATTTCTGTGTCCCTTGTGACATGACTATGTTACATGCACGTCTTAAAGTTCTGAGAATGAAAACTATCCTTAATGACCAACATAGCTCTTTTGAGGTGTTACACCGCTAGCAGATATTGTCTTCTTTGGACTTTTCTTTTCGGGTTTTCCCCTAAGATTTTGAAATATGTCTACTAGAGAGAGGTTTCCACACCTATAAATAATGTTTCGTTTCCTTTTCCAACCAATGTGAGATCTCACCATCCACTTCCCTTTGGGGTCCAGCGTCCTCCTAACTGGCACTCGTTCCCCTCTCCAATCGATGTGGAACCTCCCAATACATCCCCTTTGGGGCCCAATGGCCTCATTGGCACACTGTCTGCTGTCCACCCCCTTTGGGGCCCAGCGTCCTCGTTGGCACACCGTCTGGTGTTCACCTCCTTTGGGGCCCAGCGTCCTCGTTGGCACACCGTCTGGTGTTCACCTCCTTTGGGGCCCAACATCCTCTTTGGCACACTGTCTGGTGTCCACCCCCTTCGGGACTTAGTGTCCTCGTTGGCACACCATTTGGTGTCCACCCCCTTCGGGACCCAGCGTCCTCGTTGGCACACCGTCTGGTGTCCACCTCCTTTGGGACCCAGCGTCCTCATTGGCACACCGTATGGTGTCCACCCCCTTTGGGACCCAGCATCCTCGTTGGCACATCGTCTGGTGTCCTCCCCCTTTGGGACCCAGCGTCCTCATTGGCACACCGTCTGGTGTCCACCCCCTTTGGGACCCAGCATCCTCGTTGGCACATCGTCTGGTGCCTCCCCCTTTGGGACCCAGCGTCTTCATTGACACATCGTCTGGTGTCCTCCCCCTTTGGGACCCAGCATCCTCTTTGGCACACCGTCTGGTGTCCACCCCCTTCGGGACCCAGCATCCTCGTTGGCTCACCGTTTGGTGTCCTCCCCCTTCGGGACCCAACGTCCTCGTTGGCCCACCATCTAGTGTCGCCCACTGTCTAGCTCTAATACCATTTGTAACAGCCCAAACCCATCACTAACAAATATTTGTCTACCTTGGCTTATTACATATCGCCGTTAGCCTTACGATTTTAAAACACGTCTATTAGGGAGAGGTTTCCACGTCTTTATAAGAAATGTTTTGTTCCCTTCTCAAACCAACGTGGATCTCACAAAGTACATAACATCGTCATATCATAGAGAAATATTGAGACCATCGACTGTCGAATTCAAATTCCAAATCTTAGTACGAACACGTTCACATAGACATACAGATGGATGCACGGAGTCGAGGATAGACATACAAAGCTATTACAATGCTATAAATAACTTCTTTTTCTTGTATTTGCAGGTTTCTACCAACAAAGTCGAACAAGAAAATGAAGGAAATAAATAGAGAAATAAAAAGAATGGTTTTGAGTATTATAAACAAAAGGAAAAGGGCAATGAAGGAAGGTGAGGCTGTACAGAACGACCTATTGGGCATTCTCCTACAATCCAATTCAAAACAAATTGAAGCACAAGGAAACAACAAAGACGTTGGAATGAGTATAGAAGATATCATTAATGAGTGCAAGATCTTCTACATTGCTGGCCAAGAAACCACAGAACAGCTATTAACTTGGACAATGATTTTGTTGAGCTTCCACACCGAGTGGCAAGAGCGAGCTAGAGCTGAGGTTCGAGAAGTATTCGGTGACAACATCCCAGATTCCGATGGTCTACCTCGTCTAAAAGTGGTAATGTTTCTTTCCCCTTCTTTAAGTAGTTATATGGCGTAGTTAGTCGAGCTATACTTACACTTCATATATGATAGGTAAATATGATTTTACACGAAGTTCTAAGGCTATATCCACCTGCAAGTACGCTTAATCGGATGGTTAAAAAGGAAACGAGAGTTGGAAACTTGAGTCTACCGGCTGGAGTGATGTTGATTGCACCAGTGGTTCTTATTCACCGTGATCGTGAGATATGGGGTGAGGATGCGAATGAGTTTAAACCCGAGAGATTTAGCAATGGAGTTTCTAAAGCATCGAAGTTGCAGCCTGCTTTCTTTCCATTTGGATGGGGTCCTCGGACATGCATGGGGCAGGACCTTGCGATACTTGAGGCTAAAGTTGCGATGTCCTTGATTCTACAACGTTTTTCATTTGAACTCTCTCCATCCTACGCCCATGCTCCCACTCTGCTTATGACTACTCAGCCTCAACATGGAGCTCATATCATCCTACGCAAATTGTAACCGCCAGATATTTGAATAAGGCTTATGTCTTAGATTTTTAAGTTTATCTCAATAAATTTTGATATGGAACTCTTGAGATTTGATATAAATTTGTTGAAAAACAGCATCTTTAGATCTAAATTATTCAAGAACTTCAAAATTAACAAGTAATCAATTCAAGGAAAAGTTTTGGAGCGGATGTCTTGATGATCAAGATTAAGAGTTGTTTCTAAACTCGTTATCCAAATCACTTCATAAGATGGTCATAGCCCACTGCTACCACTTTGACCTGTCTGTTACGTATTATGGTTTTGTTAGAGAGAAGTTTCCATACTCTTAATAGTCTCACGGTTTTAAAACACGTCTTGCTAGGGAGAAGTTTCCACACTCTTATATGTTTTATTTCACTCTCCAACCGATGTGGGATCTTACAAAATGACATATGATTGAGTTTCTTTTGTTTCATTCCCCTCTCCAACCGACACGGGATCTCATAGAATGATATATAATTGATTCATCGAGATTTCCTTGGAGGCCAAGTCGATTTCGGATCTAGAATTTGAGAAGTCAATTAAGTTTTTTCTTTCCTTTTGAAAATTCAGGAAAGTGTGGTCTTCCATTCAAACATTTAATGTCATAAAGTGAAAAGGCAATGAAAGTCATAATATTGGATTTTCCAAGCCATTGGAATTTTCATTCACAATCAAATTAGTATACGCAAACTTATTTCTTCCTTTCCCTTCCACAAAAATAATTAGTGATTATCATGAACACAAGCGAAAGTGTAAGTACAATTCAAAATGTCACTGATATGCCAAACTGTGTATATCATAATTAAAAACACCTTGTAATCTCTAAATTTTCACCCTGTCAAATGGGTTTTGAGTTTCTACTAAACTATCAAAGTTTTTCCACATACGATCAAGCAAAGTAAAAGCAATCTTATCATGATATTGCAAACAGTGTGTGGTTGTCCTATAAATAACAGAGTCCAGTTGCGTCTCCTTCATCATCGTTGAGAGTTCAAGAAACTCAGCTCTGCTTCAGAACTGTGTTGTGTAATGGCGTGTGTCACAGCCACGGTATCCATTTGGATAGTTGTGGTGGGTTTAGTCGTATTGGGAGGGAAAATTCTGAACTCTATTTGGTTTAGGCCCAAGAAACTAGAGAAGCTTTTAAGGCAGCAAGGACTAGCCGGAAATTCTTACCGGATTCTCTACGGAGACTTGAAGGACAGAGCCGCCATGAGGGAGCAGGCCATCTCCAAGCCGATGAACTTCTCTAATGATATTGCTCCACGTGTTACTCCTTCTATTCATCATACCATCCAGAAATATGGTAACATATCCCATTCTCCCTCTTCCTCATCTTTCAATCCTTTTTCTCGAATGATTTGTGAACTCCACTGCGTTTCTGTTCATTAAATTTACCTGTAATTTTGTTCTGAAACAGGCAAGAATTCATTTATGTGGCTTGGCCCCATACCAAGAGTGCACATCATGGACCCTGAACAACTTAAAACTGTGTTTGCATTGTTCAATGATATCCAAAAGCCATCTATGAATCCCCTTGTCAAGTTGTTTGCAGGGGGACTTGTAAACCATGAAGGAGCAAAATGGGCCAAACACAGAAAGATAATCAATCCTGCATTTCATTTAGAAAAGCTTAAGGTATCTTTCTCTCCATACCACTGAAAGTTCTTGAATACTTACGCATAATTAGCAAATACTCTATCATGAATACTTGGAATCATACTGTACAGAGAATCTTAAGATGGAACATCTATTCTTATTTAAAGAATAAGAAGAAGAAGAGAACAAATTATTTGAGTTACTATAATTTCAAAATCATTACACCATAGTTAGTGATCATACATATACCTTAAATTGGCTTACAGGGTATGGTACCAGCATTCTATCATAGCTGCTACGACATGGTTAGCAAATGGGAAAGCATGGTCTCTGAGGAGGGATCGTGTGACCTAGATGTAATGCCTTATCTACAACAAATGGCTGCTGATGTGATTTCTCGAACAGCATTTGGGAGTAGCTATGAGAAAGGAAAAAAGATCTTCCAACTTCAAACTGAACTAGCTGATTTGGTGATTCAAACTATCATGAGGATTTATATTCCGGGATGGAGGTAAATAATAGTAAAAATTCCCAAATGCTTAAACAGATCTTTAAACGTATACAAATAGTAAATTAGTTAGTTTAAAGATATATCATTACTATTTTATTACTGGTTAAGCATTTTAGTTTTCATATCATGATTGATTTTGTGCAGATTCCTACCCACAAAGTCGAACAAAAAAATGAAAGAGCTTAGTAAGGAGATATCATCTTTGATCTTGGGTATTATAAATGAACGGGAAAAGTCTATGAAGGCAGGTGAAGCTATGAATAGCGATCTATTAGGCATTCTCATGGAATCCAATTTGAACGAAATTGGACAACATGGAAACAATAAAGACATTGGAATGAGCATAGAAGATGTCATTGATGAATGCAAGATTTTCTATATTGCCGGCCAAGAAACTACAGCTACATTACTAATTTGGACGATGATACTGTTGAGTTCATACTCAGAATGGCAAGACCGAGCAAGGGCAGAGGTCTTTGAGATCTTCGGTAACAAGAATCCAGATTACGATGGTCTAAATCGACTAAAAGTTGTGAGTGATAGTCTCCTATTTTGTTGATCTATTTTCTAATTTTGATTTAATGAAAATTAAACGCCCATCTTCTAAGATAAAACAATCACATGAAACTTTAGGATTGTGTAAGATGAAAGATTGAAGGCTATTTGACAAACTTGGTATGTGACTTTTGTGGGGATGTGTTCTAAAAGGTATTGTATTAGCTAACACATGACATGTGACTTTTTGAATGGCTCAGGTAACTATGATCTTCAACGAGGTTCTCAGGTTATACGCACCAGTGGGTTTGCTTGGACGACATGTTAAAAAAGAAACAAAACTTGGAAATTTGACTGTACCAGCCGGAGTGTTCCTGGGCCTACCAGTTCTTCTAATTCATCGTGATCCTGAGTTATGGGGTGAGGATGCGGACGAATTTAAACCAGAAAGATTTTCTGAGGGAGTTTCTAAAGCTACAAAAAATCCAGCTGCTTTTATCCCATTTGGTTGGGGTCCTCGAATATGCATAGGACTAAACTTTGCCATGATTGAAGCAAAAATGGCATTATCAATCATCCTACAACGCTTCTCATTTGAGCTTTCTCCATCGTATACTCATGCTCCCACCGGGTCTATAACAATCCAACCTCAACATGGAGCGCATATCATACTGCACAAACTGTAGAGTTCGCACATTATCAGAAGCTAGGGAAGTTCACTGCTATCCCTATGTATACTTTCGAATCCTTTGATATTTTCCTTTCAACTAAGTACCCTTTTCGTTGCTCACCACTTCCTAAATAAATGGCTTTGAGATTATTAATTACTGTTTGTAATAGTCAAAATTATGAACCACAGCTTTTGAAAACTGGTTTTGTTTCTCATTGACATTTTCTCAAACAGTTCATCTGCAATGGCTGCTCTGCAGCAGAGTCATGTTAACTTCAATCATAGTAATATACAATACAGCAAAACAAATGTTCTAAATGGGATTCTGAGAATACATATATCCACCCATTGTAATACTCAATACACAGCAGAAATTCAAGAAGAGATATAATTCTTGGAAACAACATGTGGTTAGATAGATGAGACGAGATCCGATTACCTTGGTTGTGGAGTCCCAAATTCCTGAATCGCCGAAATTCTGCGGTTGTTCTAAGGGAATCTCCCTTCCAAAGGCCTCAATCGTCAATATACTCCGTTACTTGAAAAAAAGGAAGCCCATGAAGTATTTGGTTTTCAGATGGTCTACCTCGTCTAAGATATAAGTGAGATGTTTCTTAATCAATTAAGCTATACTTAAACTTCATACATGACAGGTAAATATGATTTTACACAAAGTTTTAAGACTATATCCACATGCAAGTACGCTTAATCAGAAGGTTAAAAAGGAAACGAGAGTTGGAAATTTGAGTTTACCAGCGGGTGTAATGCACCAGGGGTTGTTATCCACCGCGATCGTGAGATATGGGGTGAGGATGCGAATGAATTTAAACCATGAAGATTCAGCAATGGAGTTTCTAAAGCATCAAAACTTCAACCCAACTTTCTTTCCCTTTGGATGGGGTCCTCGAACATGCATGGGTCAGGACCTTGTAATACTTGAGGCCAAAGTTGCGATGTCCTTGATTCTACATCGTTTTTCATTTGAATTCTCTCCATCCCACGCTCATGCTCCCACTTTGCTTATGACCACTCAGCCTCAACATGGAGCTCATATCATCCGTATTTGAATTCTATAATCAAATTCATGTTCTCAAGTAAAGATAAAAAAGACACAGACACGTGACACGGAGTTCTTTTTATTCAAGAATAATATTCAATTGATATGAGTGTGTAACAGTTCAAGCTCACCCACCGCTAGTAGATATTGTCTGCTTTAGTCTGTTTCCACACTCTTATCCGAAATGCTTCATTCCACCGACGTTTCGTAAGAGCCCAAGTCAATTAGGGATCTAAAATTTGACAAGTTACGTCTGTCATAATGTCATAATGCTAAAATGCAAAGTTTTTGTTTTACTTTTTGCTCACATGATATACATATTCCTCACATGATTTCCATATTCCTCACAAAACAAAAGTAATTAGTATGCCAGACTGTGTTTGTATTGTAGTTAAAAACGTCCATGATTTGTGTCACACCAAGTATAAGTTTCCTAGTGGAAGTTATGAGAATCACTTTAACTGTTGTTCATATTCACATGTATTGTAATGAAAATGTAAGTAATATCAAGTATAGTAATCATTTATTGTAATGAAAATTTGGAAGTAAAATTTATACATAGAGTGCAAGCACTATTATCATGATATTGCAAACTGTGTGGTTGTTCTATATAAATAACAGACTTGTGTTGCATCTCCTTCACCATCGTTGAGAGTTCAAGAAACTCAGCTCTGATTTAGTTTTCAGGTTCAGAACTGTGTCTGTACCGATCGAGATGGCGTGTGTCACAGCCACGGTATCCATTTGGATAGCTGTGGTGAGTTTAGTCGTATTGGGAGGGAAACTTCTCAACTGGATTTGGTTGAGGCCCAGGAGATTAGAGAAGTTCTTAAGGAAGCAAGGATTCGCCGGAAATTCTTACCGGATTCTCTATGGAGACCTGAAGGACAGAGAGGCCATGAGAGAGCAGGCCATTTCCAAGCCGATGAACTTCTCCAATGATATTGCTCCACGTGTTATTCCTTCTGTTCATCATACCATCCAGAAATATGGTATAACATATCCCAATCTCCATCTCCCTCATCTTTCAATCCTTTTTCTCGAATGATTTGTGAACTCCCCTGCGTTTCTGTTCATTGATTTTACCTGTAATTTTGTTCTGAAACAGGCAAGAATTCATTTATGTGGTTTGGCCCCACACCAAGAATGCACATCATGGACCCTGAACAACTTAAAACTGTGCTTACATTGATCAATGATATCCAGAAGCCAGTTATGTATCCCCTTCTCAAGCTGCTTACAAATGGGCTTATAAACCATGAAGGAGAAAAATGGGTGAAACACAGAAAGATAATCAATCCTGCATTTCATTTAGAAAAGCTTAAGGTATCTTATCACAGAAAAAGTTGTTGAATACTTGTGCATGACTACCAAATATTCTATCATCAATACTTGGAATCATATTGTACAGTGAATATTTTAAGATGGAACATACATACCTTAAATTGCTTACAGGTTATGGTACCAGCATTCTATCATAGCTGCTACGACATGGTTAGCAAATGGGGAAGCATGGTCTTCGAGAACGGATCGTGTGAGTTAGACGTAATGCCTTATCTACAACAAATGGCTGCTGATGTGATTTCTCGAACAGCATTTGGGAGTAGCTATGAGAAAGGAAAAAAGATCTTCAAACTTCAAACTGAACTAGCTGGTTTGGTGAATCAAACTATCATGGGGATTTTTATTCCGGGATGGAGGTAAACAGAAAATAATAATAATAAAATAATAGTAAAAGCTTTCTAATTAAAAGTTGTTCATGCTTAAACAGATCTTTAAACTTATACAAATAGTAAATTATTTAGTTCAAAGATATATAATGATTGATTTTGTGCAGATTCGTACCCACAAAGTCGAACAGAAAAATGAAAGAGATAAGTAAGGAGATAACAACTCTGATCTTGGGTATTATAAATGAAAGGGAAAAGTCCATGAGTGCAGGTGAAGCTATGCATGGCGACCTGTTAGGCATTCTCATGGAATCCAATTTGAATGAAATTGGACGACATGGAAACAACAAAGACATTGGAATGAGCATAGATGATGTCATTAATGAATGCAAGACTTTCTATATTGCTGGCCAAGAAACTACAGCTACGTTACTAACTTGGACGATGATATTATTGAGTTCATACTCAGAATGGCAGGACCGAGCAAGAGCAGAGGTCTTTGAGATCTTCGGTAACAAGAAACCAGATTTTGATGGTCTAAGTCGACTAAAAGTTGTGAGTGAAATTCTCCTGTGTTTACTTTTTGTTGATCTATTTTCTCATTTTGATCTAATCAAGTTTAAATGCTCATCTTCTAAGATGAAACAATCACATGAAACTTTTGGAGGGCCTAAAACAGTTTCAAACCTTACTCTCGATGCAACTTATTGCCTTTGGATTGTGTAAGATGAAAGATTAAAGACCTATTTATTGGCTTTGGCTTTGGATTTTCCCTTCCGAGCTTCCCCTCGAGGTTTTAAATCCCCTCGAGAAGCCCAAGCCCACCGCTAACAGATATTGTCTTCTTTGGACTTTCCCTTCCAGACTTTCCTTCAAGGTTTTAAAGTTTTAAAACGCTATAGAGGGATTTTCACACCCAATGTTTTGTTCTCCTCTCTCACATAAAAAGTTTTGTATTAGCTAACACATGACATGTGAGTTTTTCAATGGTTCAGGTAACTATGATCTTGAACGAGGTTCTCAGGTTATACTCACCAGCGAGTATGCTTGGTCGACGTGTTAAAAAAGAAACAAAACTTGGAAATTTGACTATACCAGCCGGAGTGTTTTTGGGCTTACCAATTACTCTTCTCCATCGTGATCCTGAGTTATGGGGTGAAGATGCTGGCGAATTTAAACCAGAAAGATTTTCTAAGGGAGTTTCTAAAGCTACAAAAAATCCAAATGCTTTTATCCCATTTGGTTTGGGTCCTCGAATATGCATAGGACTAAACTTTGCCATGATTGAAGCAAAAATGGCGCTATCAATTATCCTACAACGCTTCTCATTTGAGCTTTCTCCATCATATACTCATGCTCCCATTGCAGGTATAACAGTCCATCCTCAACATGGAGCTCATATCATACTACACAAACTGTAGAGTTCGCACATTATCAGAAGCTAGGGAAGTTCACTGCTATCCCTATGTATACTTTCAAAATCCTTCGATACTTTCCTTTCAACTAAGTACCCTTTTCATTGCTCACCGCTTCCTAAATAAATGGCTTTGAGATTATTAATTACTGTTTGTAATAGTCAAAATTATGAACCACAGCTTTTGAAAACTGGTTTTGTTTCTAATTGACATTTTCTCAAACAGTTCATCTGCAATGGTTGCTCTGCAGCAGAGTCATGTTAACTTCAATCATAGTGACATACAACACAGCAAAACAAATGTTCTAAATGGGATTCTGAGACTACATATATCCACCCATTGTAATACTCAATATACAGAAATTCAAGAAAAGATATAATTCTTGGAAACAACATGTGATTAGATAGATGAGATGAGATCCGATTACCTTGGTTGTGGAGTCCCAAATTCCAGATTCGCTGAAATTCTGCAGTTGTTTTAAGGGAATCTCCCTTCCAAAGGCATCAATCGTCAATATACTTAGTTCCTTGAAAAAAAGGAGGCCCATGAGATCATTTTCATAACTTTATGAATCACAGTATAATTGTTATAACATTATTCGTTTGAACACTAGCTATTGAGCATGGCTTTGCTTTCTCAGATTCCGGCGTCGTTCTTCACTAAGAATCCCGAGCTCGCTCTCTCATCTGCCGTTAACACATCCAAGCTCACAAATTCCCCAAAAATCCAGCGAAGATGGTGCAATTTGGCAAGTCCTCCACGCCTCTCCTTCCAGTCGCCGGCCAGACTACGGCCGACGGCTGCTGTATATTTACCTTTTTCATGTATTTAA